TGCAAGCCTTTGCTCTCCACCTTCCGGTGAAACTAAATCGATACCGTATCCATCTGGGAGGATGAAAAAATAATGTGCATCGACTGGCCCCTCACGTATTGTATAGTCCACATTGCATTCAATAAGGCGCTACGACTTTTGAATGGAAATAGAATGTGTGCAGCATCCCCGATACGACATTTATTGATGGCAGAAGCTTTATTCTTTTTTCTTAATTTATTCCGGCTAAAAGAGAATATTCCATTGCTGCTGTGAGTCATACTTTGTGCAAAAGACTCTTGCTCATGTGCTCATTCATAAATTTCATTAAAAAAAGAATATTTCTCAAACCTTTCGAGGCTATATTTTTTGACGCAGTTGTACCAGTCAATTTTTGGGAATTTAATACATCATCTTATTCTCTGGAGTTTATTCGGTTTTTTAGGGAATATTGTCAAGCACCATTTTCGCGACTCACTTCTCTCTACGTCAACATGCAGTTCGACATTGTAGTCTCACTTGTATACTTTAACCATCGCGAGCAGGTGTCGCTATCTACGACACAGCAGGTTTGCTGTGTCCCTTCCGGTAATTGTACATCTACTTGATTCTGAATCTCGAAAGATGAAGTCGAAATTCGCTGTACATGTCCTGCTTTCACGAACGTTGAACTTACATGGTAGCTTCTCAATTTTCACATTCCCGGCTATTCTTCTCGTCTCTTGCGGCATTTTAACCTCTCACACAGTGTCTAATGAGCTTTCTATTAGATCGCCAGTAGTTGCGAGGGGCAGCGCTTTTCTTCACGTGTTTTTGAGCTGCGAAATCAGCACATCCTCCATGTTTGCGGACAGGATTACCATCTCCGAAGAAGGCACGTGAACACTCAATGACCGCGGAACGTGCCTTTAGGAATAGCATTACTTATTCCTTTACTTACTTTATTACTGCAACATGTGAAAGGAACAGTAAAATTCTTAGGAACAAAATATTCGAACCAGTAAAAAATTATCAAGCCCCAAACGAAACAGATTTTTTTGATTTCGTAAAGATGATCGGCACTGAAACTCCTGCTTGCCCTTACATGCTTCGTTCTTCCACGAAACGTGAAAAATTTGCTCCTTAACATCGAACGAGGTTGACGAAAATGAAATTTGATCCGTTCTCCTCTAGTCAGTCTTAAAAAAAAGATTAGATATGCTCAAAAGCAGCTGGCACGATTGCTGTGGGCGGGCGGTTGTTGCCAACGTCATTGGTGGAAGGGCTGAGTGGGTGTGACCAAACGCCCTCTCGCAGCCCTTTCACCAATGGCACTGGCAACAACCGTCCGCCTCCAGCAATCGTGCCCACTGCCTTTAAGAACTTAAACTCGGAACTGACCAGATGTATCTCTTCTCCAGAACTAGCAGTGCTCTTCGTTTTATCCTAATTGCATAAAATGAGATCATCATGTTATTTTATCCTTGAAAATTATTGTGGGTCCGCCTTTTACAACTTCTAGCCAGCAATGTTTTTACTGACTTGTCGGCTGTCTTCCGCTCAGCTATTCCGTTCTTCTTGACCGTGACAATCTCGGAAAAGATATAGCTATTTGCTGTGATATTTTCCAAGTTACCAGTCAATTCTTCTGCTTAGGCTTCACGTTACTGTGATGTTTGCGCTAGTGTCTGTTATGCTTGTGATGATTTCTCCCGTTTTTGGGAGGGTTTGTATTTTTGTACACTGCAGTTCGGTTCAATAAAGATCAGTAGTATTCTGTGAGCCTTCACATTCGTAGTGGTTTAGTTCCACTCAAACAATATCTGGAGGTTGTCTTAACATTTTCGGCGCCGTACGACTTGGGAGGGGGTATTTTGCATTTTCGCTAGTTCTTGTTACTATGGTTTCTCGTCAAGTGTGAATAAATGCTGCTACTGCCTGGCTTCACAAAAATTCACAGGTATTCTTAGGAGGCAGCGAATGAGGACTAGCGAAATGCACCCCTCCTTCCCAACCCCCGCTCAAGCTTAACTATTACTCGTTCTTGCTGTGTTTGACTTTTTAGAGTAATTTTACAGTAGTATCTGAATGAGCAGCTGAAAACGGCAAAGGGACAAAAGGAGGAGGGAAGCAGGAAGACACAGGAGAAGTGAATGGTAAGTACTCCGCAATTTTTGTTTTGCAAGTTTGTATTAGGTTGGCGGGAAAACTGTCACACTTTTCGACTCAAAATATTTGTCCAGTACCTGAAGAGGGGTAACCGGTGATGTGAGCACTTATACATCAACGAGTGTTCTTTCTATTAGTGCCGCTCACTTGACTCCTGCTTCTTCTTCTGCAATATGGACAAGAATGTTATCCCGTTACCATCGGCATCCACCCCTCCAAGCGCTTCCTCAAACTTTCACCACCCTGACGCCATCATGATAGCTGCAGATGCCAAAATAATGGAGCTGATTAAGGACGATGCCCTCAATTACCGAACAGCCTTCCACGACGCTAATGCCTCAAAGCGGGGCGGTAGCCCGCCCTACAATTTTGATGACGAAATGAGGTTTGCGTTACCTGTGAACTCAGACCGAGGGAGCTGTGGGTCATGAAAGGGCTGGATGAAGAAGCAGCTTCCTAGGTCAAACCGTGCGCAAAGCAGCTACGAGATCTGAAGCGAACCATCGATCAGAGGGAAAATTTGTCCGCACAGTCCGCCTTCAGCGTGACAGTGCTAGCCTACTCCGTTCGAAAGAGAGTTTCGAGGGCCGTGCCTCATGCTGAATGGGGCTGGATGGCTCTCCCCTTGAACTGGCGTAGCCCAGACTTTGGCTCCTTCTAAGTGACTTGCCTCCCGTACTCAGCCGCTATATTTACGAGAAAACCTCCACAACCCGACCCCAAGTCAAAATTGAGATGATGTCCAACTTTACGTCGCGCCGGTCTGCATTGTGAAGCGGTGGCATTCATGAGGTGCTCAAAAACTGGCAAGAACCCCGCAGTAACATTGCTGTACACATTTTGATTCTAACCCCTGCTGCTATAAAAGGAAACCGTAATTTTAAAAAAAAATGTGACAGACTTCCCCGTCAACCTAATACATTTTTTCAGCGTTGTTGTCACAGTTTGTGATCTTGCCTGATTCAGATCAAGTGGAGGATGATGATGATGTAATAGTGATCGAAGATACGGAAGACGCTGATAAAACGGAAAATGGTGATAAAAATGAGGAAAGTCAAGAGCAGAACCCAAGTCAAGAAGAATCGGAACAGCAGGAAGGGAACGATGACGATGAAATGGTCAGTATCGGCGTCGAAGTGGAATCTGTCAATGGCTGACGAAGCCTGTGAGAATTCTGTTGATGAAGAGGAGTTGGAGGAAACTGTGAGTCATTCTCAATACTCTCAATACAGTAAGGCTGCGTTCACAATTTGCGGCAGCCGCACCAGCATTTCGAGCGTCCGTCAGCGCCAGCGACTAGGAAAGTATAGATGTCGATCTAGCGAACACCACTGTCTACTAGCGCCCGCCAAGGAGAGTAGGGCCCAGGTCTTTCGATAAAACCGCAAAAATTCCGTTCTGTTTACTCGGCTTGATGGAAGTAAAGCTTCTTTCCATATTCTGATGATAAGTAGGAGCTGCTGTTCACGCATTCATTCCGGAGTTGTTGAGGTGAAAAAACGCCGTTTCCGAGTGATTCCTTGGATTCGTTTTCTCCTGAGTCGACCAAGTCTTTCAGCCTTCCTGAGGCACTAGATATGTCACAGACCCGTTCGGAAGAATGTAGTATAGGATACCTGGAAGTCGTTTTGTAGGGCAAATCACATACCGAAGCCTCTGCGAGCGACTAAACGAGGAATTGAGGTGCACAGAGGGATTGATCAGCGCCCATTTCCATTTACCCTTCATAAGCACTGTTCACTGTCTACGCCCTGGGAATTAGAGAACGAAATGAAACAAATACACGGGAATGGAGTATCGCCGACCGTTCTGATTCCATTGCGAAAGGGGTTAGAAGTGTGTTGATCCCGCGGACTCCGCTCAGGTGAAGAATTTGAGAGCTGGCGAAATTGTGTTTCGCTCACCCTCGCCGGTTCTCCTTATATATACGTATCTAACTCTTTCCGCGCATCCACTGGGTTTGCTCGCCCGGTCCACGATTTTCCCATCGATACTTATTGAAAGCCTCATGCAGATGCGCTTCTTTCGCCGATTCCGTAGGTAGGCAGACTGTGAACATGGCTCGTATTACTATTATCGGGGACATTCTATCGGGTTTTCGAGGAAGTTCTGAGGGACTGTTCCCTTATTCATGGTCTCTTGGTTATATCACTTATAGCGGTTTTTAATAGGATCGGATAGTTTCATGCTGTAGGGGAATACTTTGATCAGTCGCTTGTTACTGTTTATTTTTTTTACTAAAGGCAGACGAGCGTTTCAACAAATACCAGAGTTCTGCTGAAAATCCGAAGTTCTTCGTAAAGCTCATGCTTGATAACCACGAGCGGCTAACATTACAAACGGTTCCTGGGGCCGTATGCTATACGTTTCCCGAGG